AATGGAGGAGCAAGACTGATATTTGTTGATGGAAACTGAACTTTTAATTCCTGGTTAGGTCGGTGGATATTACATGCTTCAGGTTTTTAGGCCTGAAGTGGAATGTACTTATCCAGTTAATTGGCTTCTGTTTATATGGATTAGCATTAGTTGGGTATAAAGTCCTAGATGCATATTAGTTTATTCTTCCAAAGTGCAACGTCAGTTGCAGTTGGTTTTGAGTCATAGTTATCTATAATTTTCTATAAGTCATTGTTTAAGTTTTTGGGGAGATTTTTTGCTTGTGCTCTTTACCTGTCAATCATACTTTAAATGCCAATTTGGCTGATTGGATAGATTTGTTGTCTTAAGAGCAATCCAAATTATAATTTTTATATTTAGATTGAAAACTGGAATGTGTTATGTTTGTAACATATCCCTTTGTAGAAAAAAAAATGTTATTGGCTTTCTGTTAAACAATATCATTTTGTTCGGCTGACAAAAGCTAGCAGTGTATGTCCTTTGTTGGACTTTTGTGTTTATTTGTTATACTTTCTGCCTTCAATCTGTCATTCAGCTTTTGAATAAGCACAGATTTCCATTGGTTAACTGTGGCTGGTCATCTGAGCGGCTGTTAAAGGAAAGGACAGTTTTCACATTTTTAGTGTACAAGATTTCTTAAACAGATTGGACGCGGATATGTGGGAACTACTGTAATTATTTTATCAATACACTATTCGGGAAGAAATTAAAATGGCAGCCAAAATTTTCAATTCATCTGGAGAAACTCTCCATATTGAGTGTTTGTTTTGACGCAGGGACTTTCTACTAAAGGAAATTGAGCTTCTATCTGGGCTCGTCTTCTTCTCTGCAAAAAACTTCTATTGCAATGGAAACTTTCCTGCCTGCTTCCTGCTCTCCTTTCATTCACAGATGGCATCCTTCTGAACTTTCTTCTGTCATTCACCCTCCACACTGCATGCTAATTCAAAAGAATGGTCTTGGTGGGGAGCATGAAACTGTCATGCCAACCACTACCACTGACTATAGGAGGATCAGTGAAATCTGCCTTGCCATGCCATGCCATGCCATGCATTCCATTACTGAACTGTCTGAATGAGGAAGCATGCTTAGCGATGGTGTCTCAGACCTGAAATCTTGGATTTAACCTTTAATATGCCCCACAATCTTCATTTAGTTCATCATGCCACGCCTCTACATCCTTATGTGCATCAGCCCTTCCCGTTTATGCAGGTTTTGTATTATTCTTTTAGTTCTTGCCCAGGAAAAAGACATTCTGTGCTTGGCTGATGTACTACTGGCTGTGTGGACATAGCATCAATGTCATGCGTGCTATTTCTATCTCTAATATCTGGGACTTCTTTGCAGGCTTTGCTTTTGTTTATTTTGAGGATGAACGCGATGCTGAGGATGCCATTCGTGACCTTGACAATACACCATTTGGATATGACAGGCGCAGGCTGTCTGTTGAGTGGGCTAAAGTGTGTACTGGCTCTGTTACCTATTTACTGCTTTCTGTTATTTGGTTTTGTTTTCATGTTCCAGGATAGTGATCTGTTCTGGTAGTTAAAAAATGTTCATAACTATTTTTTGTTTTTTCTTTCGTAAATGTTGAGAATAATGTCTGCACTTCATTTGTAGGGTGAACGGGGTCGTCATCGTGAGGGTTCCAGGCCATCGGCAAATCAGAGGCCTACAAAAACATTGTTCGTCATTAACTTTGATCCCATCCGCACTAGGGAACGAGACATATTGAGACACTTTGACCGGTATG